GGCATTTAGTGCACTTAGAAGCAACTTGAGTACCACAATATTTTAATGGGCAGTCAGGAATTATTCAGGGTAGATTGTAGAGCTCAGGGAAATCACAGCAGGTGCTGCAGTGAAAGGCATTGGGATATAGATACAAATCTGTAGGAAACCAGGCTTGCTTAATTCTGTAAATTGCTTTATCTTTATTCCCTTCATTGTGAAGCAATTCTGCATCTGGATGTATGTGACAGCAGTTTTAATAATTAACTGCAGTAGAAATTGTTTCAGAGATGAGCTTTTATCTGAACTTGCATTAATTTCACTGTCTCCTTGTTCACGTGTTTCCTCCTCCTGTTTGCTGCTTCTGTTATTTCTCATTTAGCTGTGGCTTATTGCTCTAGACTGAGTGGTTGCTGCAAATCCACTGTTGGATTCAGCATTTTTTGGTTTCCTTGGTAATGAACACGGCAAAATGATTCTATACAAAATATGGTAAAAATGGGCCAATTCAGGTTCAGCAGAGCTTGTGTCAGGTGCTTTTGATGATGAATGTTCATGATGTACTCTGGCACTTCAACAGTGAAAGCTTGATTTGCAGGGATCTGACAAAATCATAAAGCTCTGCTATTGTTAATTAGTTAGGTCTTGTAATTGCAAGTGTTCTGATATTGTTATAGAATGGATGTACATGGGAGACACAGCCAGTGGTTACAGGAGTGTAAAAGACTGGCTGTATACAGGCTTTAAAGGTACCTGGGTAAGGGAGCAAATCTGAATATTTTCTTTCAGTTAATACATAAAGAATTTTTTTTTTTTCTCCATATTATAAAACTAAGAAATGATGAAAAAATAAGAAAATGACAGTGCTGTAGTGAAAGTTCTTCTTGCATCTGTGTTTGTTCTGCTGTATGGTTACCAGCTCCCATATATCCATTCCAAATCTTTTATCAGTATAAAGATGCAGCAAAATAGTGCATGTTAACAGTAAAAGCAATTGTTATTGTTAAATACTGCATCTTTGCAATTTTACACGTTCAAAGTATTATATTGGAAACAAGTTAGCTTGTGGGCTGTTAGTAAGTACCAGGGAGGTATAGGCTGTGTAGCTGCTCTTTTCTCTAACCCCTTCTTCCATGTTTACAGCTGAGAGCTAAGCAACAACAGTGTAGCTTGCATTTTAGGAAGTAATATTGTTTATCAAAATATTTTCAAATTAATTTAGGGAACAGGGGAAGAATCGGTGTAACGCTAAAACCTAGATCTCACTCCACCCGTAGCACTTTATTCAAACATCCACTCTTGGAAAACAAACAAACAAAAAACCACCCACAAAAAGTCCCCAAAACTACCTATTAGAATGCCTTTGAATATTCAACAGTTCAAAAGCATTTTTAAATAATGTATTTCCTTCTGTTTATTTAAAGATCTGGGGTTTTTTTTTTCCCTTTTGTGGATATGTTTTGTGCCAATATTTCCAGCTGTTTCCACCATTTCAAATCTGTGGTCTGAAACTTAAACTATGTCTATTGTTTCACAAAGCTATGTGTGCCTGTCAAGTTCAGTTAACTGTACCCTGTCAAACTTCGTGTTAAAAAGCCTTTCAGTCAAAAAGAGACTTCAGAAATAGTAAAAGTTTTAAACAGATTGTTGTAATGTAAATTGGCTCTAGATGTACCATGAAATATATACAGAAGATTTAATATGAGAATGTTTGCATGCCTGGGTCAGTAAGAATTTTCCTCGTTGATATTCTACAACTTTTTATTGTAGGCACTTCCTGATAATGCTTAATTTGTTAACTGAATTTCTTAGAGTTAATATAGAAGCTTTCAAATTCTGCATCTGAAATAGGATTTAAAACTTGACTTGTGGAGCTGTTTAGTGTATGGATGGTCTGTAAACTAAGCTGGTCTTAAGCGGATACTTCCATTTCATTGTTCTCCTCTGACATCATTGTATCAGACTCGCCGAAGAGTACAATGTGACAATATGTTTAGGTTTAAACAATTACAGATAATTAGAGTGGTAAATGTCATGATGTACAAGTGTTAGTGAAATATGTTTTTAATTATTACTTTGCTTTGTGTCATATTTCATCCCTTGAAGCCAGCAATACCCTCAAGATGCTATAGCCCATTTATGGAACTTCTCCACTCCCTACTAATTATCTGTAATTAATACCTTGCTAAAAAGTTGGAACTGCTTAGTCTTGTCCTAGTACCATTTGTTACCCATCCACTTAAAAATGTAACCTAATTTTAATTCAAAGTAAATTCTTTCGCAGATAATTTTTTCTGAATTTTTTTTTCAATTCTGAGGCACGTGAGAAATACATGTTTTTTTTTTTAATCTCTATGTTATTCACATTAGTAGAAAATAGTTTGCATTCTACAAGAAAATTTTCCTTAAAAACAAAACAATTAAAGGAAACATTTTGGTAATAAATATTTGGAATTGAAAGCTACTAGGCCATTTCTGGCAATTTCATTGGCAATTTGTCTCTGGATCTCTTTCCTTGAGAGATGACTCCATTTCACATATCTTAGAGCTAGAGTTCCCTATTCCTTGATATTTTCTGTTGACCTATTTTGTATATTGATTATTTAAAGAACATAAATAATTTCTGCTTAATTTAAAAATACTCCAATGTGTCTTTTTGAAAGCCATGTTTTTTTTAGTATTCTGAAATCAATTTTTCTAAGTTACTCTGTCATCTTGTGTCTGTTTTGTTTTGTTACTCAAAGCGCTTAAAAACTTCTGTAGAGAAGTATAACACTCAAATTACTTTTAAGCAGACTGTATAAGAGGATCTTCTTTTTGATTGCAGTCATAACAAACTAAAATGACAAAAATCACTAATTTAAATAATATAAAAGTGATAACTGATTTTTCTAAGATGTGAGTGTTAGTAATGCAATTCAATGTATAATGCTGATGAATTCCTTGAATTTCACTGATGCATTATGAAACAAGAATAGAAAATAAAAATTTGCTTCATCTCTTTTACTAAAATTCTTGAGGAAATTATATATAAAAAAAAAGGCAAGTGGTATTGCAGCACTCTCATTTGGATCTTCTTTAACGCGTTTAGACTTTTGCGTTTTTTGACAATAGCGAATCCTGGAGGAGACTGTGAATGACTGAGCACAGCATCTGGACTGTCTCATTCTATTCCAAACATAAATTTGTAGACAAATGGTTAAATTTGACACAGTGGAAGGGTTATTTCAGGTTTTGTTAAGGAAAGATTCTGCATTGCAGAGGTAATTGCTGTTCTTTAAGGAGTTATCATGAGGTTGCTGAAGCTGGTAACAACCTACTCGCATAATAAGATGTTTCACCGAAGCTTTAACCACAAGCTCTTTAAGGAAGCTGAAATGGATTTGGGGTAAGACTAAGGATTTACCAGAGTAGATTATTTGTTAGAAGATAAAAAACAAGGTAAAGTGCATGACCAGTTTTCATAGCAGTAAATCACCCATGGGGTTTTGTGAAGATCTGTCCTGAGACCTATGCAGTTCATCTTGTTTGTAAATGATTTGGAACATGAAGTGGAGATACCCATTATTTTTTTTTCTGGGTAGTAGAGATGAGGGCTAACTAAGAGGGTTTGTAGAATAATATTATGATAAAATTGATATGTAAGTGTAGATAAATATAAAAGGGGACAAAAGGGTTGATCAAAGTTCTGAAGTAGTTTCCGCACCTGAAGTACTGAACAGATGTTGATTTCTCTACCTGTGGAAGAATGTGAAAAGAGAGGTGATGGAGCATTTTGAAGGGCTGAGAAGGTGGTTTTGCTTTCCCTTTTCTGTCAGAACAGCAGAGCGTGTGATGAAGAGAGTGATGAATCAGATGTTCACTGATGCAGGCACTAAAGAAATATTGCTATTTAGAAAGTAATTGGGTGAAGTAAAGATTCCTGTAACTCACTGTGTTCCTCAGAGATGTCTTAATTTAAACTAGGATAATACCATTACATGAGGCCAAGGGAGTATTCTGGGAAAGTAAGAAGATGTGATTGCCCTGTTCTAATTTACTTATCTTTGACTATCCACTATCAGCCTCTACTAGAGAATGGATGCTGGTCTGGCCAGCCTGTGCTCTTATCAAATATATCCATTTTTATGAAAGACCCTGTCTTAAATTATCCTTTCCTGTTACATGTAATTCATGTTTCTGAATGCACTGTTAATTTATCGATACGAAAATAGACTAGAACTTTCTTATCATAATCAAGCCAATTCATCTTGAGGTAGTCCTGTTTGATAAGCTCCCAGTTCCTCCTTTTGTACTTACCTATGTTTTGGCTCCAGAGATTCTGCTCCCTACTTGGTTTTCCATTAATTAGGATTATTATGATCACTAACTATAGGAAGCCAACTGCTTGGGAAGGATGTGTTGAGAGAAGAATGCCTCTTCTAGAGGACTAAAAAGTGCGAAACCCTTTTCTTTTTTTAATCTGGAAGGTTTATGGAGGAGCATGAAACTTTCCTATTTTGCGTGCATATAACTGGAGAAAAATAGAAAGGGAAACATGTAAGGAATATAGGGGTTCTTAGCTACTACCATGCTTTTTTGATGCTGTAAAATCCAAACCAGACAAGGTATTTGAAGAGTCATGCTTCTACAATTTATTAACTAGTTCTTATATTCTAAAAGTTTGTCGCTAGAAGACCTCAACTCCATCAAATTTTTTTTGATATGTGTAACTTATTGATTTGTTTAATAACATTAAGGTATAGCAAGATACTTGCAGCACCTAATTGAATTTGTTTGTGGTTATAAAGTGCATATTCCCTTCTGTAACACTGTGCTGGATAGCTACAGTTTGGCATAAGCTTCTTGGAAGGGTTTTATTCCTATCCATCCTGAACTTGCCTACCTAATACAGCATGCATTGTTCTGGATAGGACTGTTGAGATGTAAGGTTTAATTAAGGAAAGAAAATCTGTTATTGCTTAAAGTATGATTTCTTTAAGACAAATTAAGAATATTTATTCTTTTTTTAATTACTACAGTGTACAGACTATGACCTGGATTATGGAACTGAATGTTTGCATCTGGCTCTGAAATACTGTAAAACAAATGCCAAACTCGTTGAAGGAACAGCTGACCTCTGGAAGGTAAAGGCAATAATAATCTCTATTTTTACATATATCTTTAAAAATTAGTAAAACTTACATATCACCAGAGAAATTCAGATGTGTTTTCAGTTGTAATAGTTAAGCTTTTCACTTCCAAATTTCAGAATTGTTTTTGGATTATCATGAGGGTTTTCTAGAGCTCATTGTTGTAGACAGACTCAGGCAGATGTTACCTGAGCTAATCAATGAAGACAGGAAGTTATTTATCTGGAAGCAAGAAAACCAACTAGGCACTTGAATCTCTAAAACTATAAATCCATAATCTCTAAAACTAAGAAGATTCTTCTATGAGATGAGCTCTCTCATGCGATTTATGTATCTTTTTGCCATTTGCCTCCACTTTCCTATGAGGACATCACTTTTCCTCTGATGCTAAATACCTGGCTAACAACAGTTCAATTTTTTAGAGCAGTTCATTACATTCAGTAACACTGTAATGTTTAATACCTCTTCAAACAAGCCTTTAAAATTTAAACATCATTCCCTTTGACTGATAATCTGTAGGTTCCTGATGACTGACAAAGCAGGTGTGTATACAGGTACCAAAGGATGTGTCCCTGCTGCTTAAAAGTATCACATTTCATTGTTTTGGATGGTGGGACATTATTCTTTCTCAGTAACTGTTGTGTCATGCAATTTTTAAGTGTTTCCTTTTTTTATTTATTTTATTCATTACCACATTGAAGGATCTGGAAGCAGCTCAAATCACTCCATCTGTCTTTGACAGTAAATTTCCTCCAATGGGACATGATTTCTAATAATATGACAGTAAATCTTACTCAGGTAATTTCCTGAATCTGCAGTGCAAATTTCCTGTTCAATTTAGCAGCAAAATTTACTTATGCGTTGGTTGCATACAGCAACTTGTTTGAATATCTTTCTGGGGACACAGTCTTTCTGAAACAGTGTATTGTCTGTTTTCATATTTAGTCTTCTAAGGGACAGATTATGTCATGCACATTTGCATTACATCACTTTCTGGGTGGTTTCATTGTTCTCATTGCAAAGCATGGTAGTTCCATGAAGGGTAACAAAGTGCACCTGTAATGTTCATTTAGTTCTTTATATTGTTTATTTAATTCTTTACTGTCCGTAGATACTACTGGTGCCCACCAGATGAAATGTAGTGTTTTGACATAGAATGACAGAATAATTAAGACTGAAGGAAGTATCTACACGTCATCTGGTCCAGTGCCTTGCTGGAAGTGGGACCAGATTAGTTAGATTAAGCTGGGCAGGGCCTTGTCCAGTTGAGTTTTGAGTATCTCCAAGAATGAAGACTCTCTGGGAAAAAGAATTCCAAACAGTTTCCCTCCCATACAAAGGACATTTTTTCATAATATTTGGCCAGCATTTCCCTTGCTGCCTCTTGTGCTGGGAAATTATGAAAGGACAAGAGAAAGATCTGCAAGAAAAGTCGAGTTTGCTCTTCTCTGTGGCCATTAATTATGACCTTTCCCCAGCTTTGGGCTGAACAAGCCAAGTTCTCTCACACCATATTAGCAGCCCTCTGCTGGGCTTCCTCCTGTTCTCCATTGCATTATACTGGGGAGCCTAAAACTAGAAACAGTGCTCCAGTGTGTGCTCAAAAGGACTGAATACAGGGGAATAATCCCTGTGTTCCATGTAATGGAGTCTACGTTCTTACTGAAACAGCTTGGTCAGTTGGACTCCTTTTCTGCACTGCTTCACACCACCGGCTCGGGTTCAGCTTATCCAGAAGGTCCTTTTCTGCAAGTCTGTTTTCTGTATTTTAGTATCAGTATGGACTGTGTTGGTGCCCAGTGACAGGACAAGAGGTAACGGGCACAAACTTGAATATAAGAAGTTCCACCTAAACATCAGGAGGAACCTCTTCACTTTGAGGGTGGCAGAGCCCTGGAAGAGGCTGCCCAGAGAGGTGGTGGAGTCTTCTTCTCTGGAGACATTCAAAACCCACCTGGACATGTTCCTGTGCAACCTGCTCTGGGTGGACCTGCTCTGGCGGGGTGTTGGACTGGATGATCTCCAGAGGTCCCTTCCAACCCCATAGCATTCTGTGATTCTGTGACAGTTGCTGAGTGTTATTCTGTCCCAGATGCAGGAAGCTGTGTTTGTTATATTTCACAATGTTTCTGTCAGCCCCTTTTTGTAACTTTTCAGAATCCCTCTAAATGAGTGTTCTACCCTTGAGCATATTAAATACTCTCCCATTTGTTGTCATCCACTGGTTTGCTGGGGGCTTTTCCCCTTTTCCAGGTTATTAATAAAGATATGTAGACATCATTCTCCCCAGTATCAGCCCTTGAGGAACAGCAGTAGTAACCAGCCCCCAGTGACACTTCAGAATTGAGCTTGTGCACATCTCTGTTTAAAAACAGAATTATTTCAGTGTTAGTGCCACTCTGACATCACTGGTGAAACGAAATCCTCATGCTGTTCACTCTTTAGCATGTGGAACCCATTGCAGTAGCCCTGGACTTTGAAGAGGCCTGTAAACACATGGAAAATGGTAACACATAAAGAGCGAATACTCTGTATATAGTATACACAATATACTGTATATAGTATACACAAAGATGCTGGTGCCATGTCATTAAAGAACTTCTACCTTCTCAAATCCTATTCTCTGCCTTATTTTGTAGCTAAAAGCCATTGGTGTCTTCTGTGGCTCCTGAAGGCATTCAAAGGCATAAGAATGATGAGGTCTGTAAAATAGTAAATCGTTTCTGCAGCAAATAATCACGTCAGTTTGGAGGCTGCAGAGGAAGAAGGTAGCTCACTCCTGCTTGAGTAGCACCCAGGTGTCACTCTGGGCCAGGGTGTTGGGCAGGTGACTTGGGGCAGTACCGTTAAAGAAGAGAACGGTTGTGCTCAGTCTGTGCAGTTTGATGAAGTGCTGAAGACTGCTAATTTTCTCAAGTGATGCTTGCCTAAAAAATGGTTAGGAGCTATTGCTGTTGGTTACTAATCACCTTTCACAAGCAGAATTGTCTTTCCTTAGCTGTCATAATATTGTTGTTTTGTTTTTCTGTGAGGCTTTTCAATGCTGAGATTAAATTATATTTCATAAGCTAAGAACTGGTGTGCTCCCAGTGGCTCCAGTCTTGGTTTTTTTTTCCCACAAGAGGCAAAATGATATTCCATCTAGATAAATGAGAACTGAAATAAATCATCATTGTTCAGTTGAGGTTTCAGAGGATGCATAACAGAAAAACTGCAGTCAATTAACAGGTGGGGAACAGGTTCTGAAGTCCAAGTATTGCGGCCAATTTCATTCTTTGTGGACCTTGAATCTTTAAAGAGAAGATTTGATATTTGTAAGAATTTGGTTTATTTTTTAGGTGCTGCATAACATTAATGACTCAAAGCTGTGGGAAAAAATACTTATCTGTGCATATGTATTGTCTTCTTGAATTAACTGTAATTATTCTGCTGGAGCACTGTCTACATTTCAAAGTCACTCACCATTGCAGCTGAAGCAAGTGATAGTTTGTTTACTTTCTGGTAACAAATTACAAAATTAAAATCATTCTTTGTAGTGTCAACAATCAGGCAGGAACATTCAAATTACTTCAGTGTTATAAATATTTATAAGTTCTATTATAAATATAGTTACTATATAATTATAACATAGTTAGGATCAGGATGGTGAAAAAGGAAACAGAATGACACTATCAACACTGCATTTTCAGTTTCTCTGGGCCTGACACCTTTGAAACAAAATGACCTTAAATGTTTTGGGGCAATATCCTCTTAAAAGTGTAAAACAGAATGTAACAGAATGTAATTGTTGGAGTCTAAGATATTTGTGTGTGTATAATGCAGATGAAGACTGCATTGTAAGAACACTTTTAAAAGATTGATTCACATTTAAAGACTTAATGCTGATAGTGCGAAAAATCCTCACCATTTCTAGAAACAACAGGTTATTTTCTAATCCTAGGAAAATATCCCATACAATGGAGATCTGTGGGATACCTTGGTATAACAGAGGGAAATGCCTCATTAAACTAAAATTTGTATTTTGCATTTTGTGTATGTGTGAACATAACTTTATGGTATTTGTTTGGTTAAGAGTTATGTTTTGCCCTTAACATACAGTTTTATAAATGTGAATTGTTCATCAAGCTAAATCCATTTGAAGAAGACGTTTAAATATTAAATGGGAATAACTTTGGGGAACTTCTCAAAGAGCATCTTCCGAGGTAGTGAAAAGTTGCAGTCTGACAGTTGAGAGAGAAAAGCACACAGGAAATCAAACAAGCAAACCCTCATCTGATGATTTTGATGTATTAGTAAATAGATATAGTAGATTGTTTTGCAGAAAAGTAGAGAAATGTCTAATAACTAACACTATTCTGCCCTTGCCAAATAAGCAGATGATTGTTTTGTATTCCATGGTAGTGAGGTATTTGTGTTGAGTTTTAGTACTTGGCCTAGGGAAATACTGAATTTCAGCAATAACATTCAAAAAATTTTGGAACACTAGATGTTCAAGAGGACAAAATGAAAATTAATGTTGTCACATGAAAAGAGAGAATCTGAATAATTAGAAGCCTGTGAGATCAATATTGAGCAACAAAACAAAAGGGCGCAGTGCTACAGGCAGAACTTGATTAATCAAGAGTTAAGGGGCTAATGTAATTCATGTCAACCAACATGGAAATCACCTATTTTGTGAAATTGACTTAAAGCCTTTTTTACGAGATTATAGTCTCGGCTGATAAAGATGGTAGTGCTGATACAATATATGGTTGGCAGAAGTTTGACTTGTTACTACATGGCATCTTAATTAAAAATAGGATGACTGTAATTGTACTAGTCCTCATTAAATAGATTAAAAATTGGATAGCATATTTCAAAAGATAATTCTAACCATGTGCAGTTCTGCAGAAACTGTTATTGTCTCTAAGCTATTTTTCATTTGTCTGATAAAATTTGCAGAAAACACAAAGATTTAAAGATTTGTAAATAAAAATATAATTGTTCAGAAGTAACTATTGATAAGGATTGCTTGGCAAACCATTTAAACAAAAGTTGTATTTTTCCTAGCAACTGTATATAAAGAAGTAGGTTTGGAAACAAAATCTATAGGCAATATTTAGAGAATTGCTCTAGGAAGACAGTGACTTTGAAAGTGGTGTAGGAATCACAGAGGATAGCAAGTTTCCACCCTGGGCAAAATACCTTCCGTCAGCCATGGGTATATATAACCGAGAATGTGAAATTAGAAAAGGGATGTTCTAGTATTACAAGTGCATCTAGAATACTACGGTCAAATCTGGACTCAAGCCCTGGGCAAATGTTGATCAATAGAGAAGGTTCTGAGAAGAGCATGAAAAAGAAGATGAAATGGTAATTTGAAAAGTCTGTAGAGATTTAGCTTAGTAGTGTGAGATAAAAAACCAGAAATGGATGAGGTAGGAGATGTTCTCTTCTGCAAAGTGAGAGAGAACTCCTGTGTGTCATCTTTTTTGATTATTCTTTTTCCATTGGGGTTTCAGCCCCTCACTCCAAACAGAGTGGCACTTGAAGTATTCTTCCTGGTTGATTTGGCAAGATCTGAATTGCTTCCGCCTGGGGTGAGCTTAGAATGCAAATCCACTTTGGTGAAACTAGAGATAAAACAGTGTAGCTGCTCAGAACACGAAACTGCTGTGTTGACTAACCTTCACAGTTGTTTAAAACAAATTCATACTAATACAATCAATGGTCAGAATCAAAGCAAAGGGTGTCTCTGTCATGGTTGCCTGCCTTTTGAATGTCTCATCTAAGTTGCAAGAACACCTTAACACAAAAAAAATCAGAAACGTTATGAATATCCATACCTTAAGAGAAACTTTGGGTGGATTTAGCATCTTATTCAATATTGAAAGAGGTGTAGAGAATCTCTCCCCCTCAACTGGTAAGTTGTGGTCACCTGTGGTAGCTGGATAGGTTTTTCTTTGTCAACTTTACTGTTTTCATGAAGCTTATAGGAGCTTGTATCTGAAATTAGCTTATAGGATCGAAAATTATGAAAGAAATTCATATGGATAGTGTGATATCATAGAATCATAGAACCATATAATGGTTTGAGTTGGAAGGGACCTCAAAGATCATCCAGTTCCAACCCTACTGCCCTGGGCAGGGACACCTCCCACCAGACCAGCCCCCATCCAGCCTGGCCTTGAACCCCTCCAGGGATGGGGCAGCCACAGCTGTTCCAGGGTCTCGCCACCCTCACAGGAAAGAATTTCTTCCTAGTGCCTGCTCTGAATCTCCCCTCTTTCCGTTTATGGTCTCAGATGATTTATTTCTCTAGGAAACCACCCTAAAAGTATTTGCTGATGTCTGGCTCAGAATTTCAGAATTCCTTCTTAATTTTTTCATTCTCCTGCGCTGTTTCTTGAAGACTGGGCCTACTTTACGAAGTAACTTCTTTTTAAAATCAGACTATTTAAAAATAGTGTTGCATTTTAAAGAAACTGGGAGACCACTTTTGACAGAGCTGAGATATTCTTGTTTCTTGAAAGGTTTTTAGATGGTAATCTGTTACGGGTTTACTGAAAGTTCCGTAAAAAAGCCCTCTAGAAACAGGTAATTATAAAGAAACCTTGCAACAGAATTGGTGACTCAATGAGTCTTTATCCTTAAATTTAAATTCAAGGCATTGATTATTCCCAACATTATGTAAACTCAAACAGCTAAGATTTCGCAGGCTAGATTCACTCTCTGGCTTCTCCCACAGGACAAGCTGTGGCAAAGTAAGTTTAATTTTTAATTTTAAAAGAATGTCATCCCTTGGAGAAATGATGAGTAATGAGAAAGGTAATATTATTCATCTGTTTCTGACTACAATAACCAGCTTAATTTATGAGATGGAAAAGTAAGTGGTTACAAGAATCCTTATGTTAAAATGAAATAGTCATTTACTTGGACACTAAAATGCTAATATCTACAATAATATGTTTCTGCGGCAAGATGTACTTTGCAGCACTAACGCTTTTGGACTCCAGTTCATTTCAAAAAGAAAGAAAAGTTATTCAGACTATTCAGTCCATTTCAAAAAGAAAGAAAAGTTATTCAGACTCTAGAGGAACAAATGCAGAAAATCCAGTAATATTTATCATAAAAGGAGGTTACAGTAAAACCGAAGACAAATATTCAGGAGTTACTCTTATAACAGTTCATGTCACTGCACGTCATTGCAAAGACATTGCAAGCAAAGACTGTTGGCATCTTGGGGAGATGCTGTCTTTGGTTTTCTGTTATTTTATTTACAAAGCCTACTATTGGGATCATCAACCACCATGAGGGCACAAAGGCACATACGAAAGGTGTTTTTTGCAAGAACCAAGTAAATATTCAGCATCTTACTGTCCATCTAACTTGATCTGAGTAATGTTTTCAAGAAGATCTTGATGGTTTTTAATCCTCAGCTCATACAAAGCCTACTACTTCTCACAGACTTGCACTGATTAATTGGACTCTCGTTAGCAGTAATAGCCTTGCACTACTGAAAAATTACACCTATATTAGTAAAAGAAATAACGAGACTTCTCCCTGGCTGTCATTTTTATGATCACAAGTTCTATAAAAAATGTACCTATTTCATGATAGAATTATGGAGTAGAAATGTAGTTTTTAGGGAATTATGAAAACGGATGTGTGAAAATAGATGCAATGTCATGTTTTTATGATTCTTCAAAGGGTTAAAAATACATTTAGGTTTCAAATGAATGCTAAGCAGATCTAAGTATTTAAAAAAAAGTCTTCCCTTGAGTCTCCAGTAATTTCTGCAACTTCTGTTCTCATGACTTGCCGGTGATATTTAACCAGAATTAAGAATTGACAATATCATTTGTTTATGCTATTTCAAATGTAAAGGATCGCCTTCAGGGCATTGTTTTATTGGTTTTACATTCCTTCCTGCTGTGTTAAATCTAATGAGGCTTGTCTGTCCTTTAGGTGACCTACAAGCGGGATCTGTATGCAGCTGAATCGATTATTAAGGGTATGTGTTTGTCCTTTTGGCTGTCAGATTGCATATTCCTGAGTCTAATTTAGAATCTTGTGTGCTATAGTTTTAAATGTCTTTAAGAAAAGTTTTGTGATTAATAAAATGTGCTTAGGCAAGTTGTTTTAGCTTGTTCACTGGAATACTTGTATTATGCATTATTTACCTTTATTTACTTCTCTTAGAATAGAGAACCTTATAAAAGCTGTGTGTATTACAGAGTCAAACAGAGATTAATTTTGAATTACTTTTTTTTTTAATTTTCCAGTTCAATTGTGAATATGTTCTGTCTTTCTAATCTAAGTAGTAGATTGTAAATTATATATTAACTCTTTAGGGTTCTTCACTCTTCTACATACAGCAACTTGTTACCTAAATTGATCTAGCAATTACATGATATTGAGGTATACCATTAATTTCTAAATATTTGTTGAACTGATTTTTTGACCTTTCCCGGTACTGGTAACATTTGTATCTTAGCAGTTTAACAGAAAGACTAGACTTAGTCTTTATCTAGATTGACTCAAACTAAAAGCAATGTAGAAAGGAAGAACTGTTAGCACTCTGTAAAGAGCACACTGATGGTTATTGTAGACTGATAGGCTCTGATTCGGGGGCTCTTGCTTGATGTAAAATTGGGATGAGAGGTTGATAGACCAGGTGGTTGTGCTGCTGTTCAGAAGGACCTTGACAGGCTGGAGAAATGGGTGGACAGGAATCTCATAAAATTCAGCAAGGGGAAGTGCAAACTGCTGCCCTTGGGAAACAATACCCCCAGGCACCAGAAAAAGACCCTGGGGAGTACTGGTGGACAATGAGTTGAACAGGAGCTGGAAATGCACCTTGATGGAAAAGGTGGCCAACAGCTACGGTAGGCAGAGCGTTGGCCAGCAGGTCAAAAGGAGGTGACCCTTTGCCTCTGCTCAGTGTTGGTGAGGTCACATCTGGAGTGTTGGGTCCAATTATGGGCTCCCCTGTGCAGGAGAGACATGGTTATACTGGAGAGAGACAAGCGAAGGGCCGTGACCGTGATTAAAGTAGTGGAACATCTGTCGTATGAGGAGATACTGAGAGAGCTTGGACTGTTATGCCTGGAGAAGAGAAGGCTCTGGGGGATCTTAGCAATGTGTATAAATTGGAGTGAAGAAGATGGAGTCAGACTCTTCCTCAGTGGTGTTCAGGGAAAAAGAGAATAGGCAATGGACAGAAACTGAAATACAGAAAATTGCATTTATAGAGCTGAAAAGCCTGGAAATTCTTAGGATTCTCATGATGTTTATTACAAAGCTGGGAGCATTTATATAGCTGAAAAGCCTGGAAATTCTTAGTATTCTCATGATGTTTATTACAAAGCTGGGAGATAGGAAGGGAGAATGTCTGTCCTTGTTTTCCTAGGAAACATTCATTTAGCTGAGATTGCCAGGATGAGCATCTCTTGGCTTATAAATGCCATTTTTAACAGCTTTTATTAAGTTACTGAAAAGAATATTTCATCTTAGAAATTACTTGTATTAGTATTTTCAGAACAATATTTTTAACTTATTCAAGCTTAGGGAAGCTTTGAAAATGGGGGTGTGATCTGACAAACTGGAAAAACATTTTCAAAATATGCCGTATCTTCATTTTGCCTACTTATTTTTTGATAACTATTTACAAACTTTATGCAAACAGAATTCATTCTGCCGTTAAGAGTTTTTCACAAATAAAATCTAGATATGAAGTTCATGAGTTAGCCAGTGATTATCAAAGTGTTTTTTTTTTAATTTTCTGAAGTTCTTGTGCTCTTGGAAAAGTATGCAGTGGTTTTAATTCAACTTTAAGTGATCTTTACTTGGATAAAACAATGCAGTTTGAATATAAATTTTAAAAGCTCAAATAGTGTTATTGTGGTTGTCAGATGAGCAAAACTAGTCAGAAGACGAAGAAGAGTTAATAGAATGAATCAGTTTGCAAAAGAAGAATTTCTTGGTACAGTATGATGTAAAATTAAGCAATGATTTTATCTTCATGATGAATAGGAATTGGAACTAATACTTTACCTTGAATGATAGTTCAATGGAAAAAAGGGAAGCTTCCAATCTTTGAGAAGTGCAAAAGTAATTATATGAAAAAATTAAGTTCTTTTTTTCCAGTCTAAATATAGATCCCATTACACCAATCATTTTGCTTGTCCTTACTTAACTAACTAATGATCTGACTTGTCCCATTGACTTAATTTCAGTTAAATCAAGTTTTTGCAGTCAGAATGGCAGTTAAATATTTTTTAAAAATACACACATTTCTGAGACCCTTTTTGCACTGTCAGCATCCAGTTTATTTCATCTAGTGAGATGCAAGACTGTCTGTACCTTCATGATAGGAGTTCTCACTGAATTCCTGATTGTAATAAAGTGCTTTTACTGTACAGACTTCTTTTAAGTATTATCTGTAATTTTAAGTGTTACCTGTGTAGCAGAGACTTTCAAAGAAAAATTCCCTCTGCTGATAATGTTAATAAGGAAATGTAGAAAGCTGATGGAGCTGCTTGGATGTGCTGTTTTGTTACAATATTTGTAAATATTTGCTGTAACAGGGATTGTTGTACTTCTGTCAGTCAAGCTTGCTGAAGCATGAAATTCTGTAAATGCCCTGAATCAGCTCAATGAATGTACAATGTTGATCATATCTTAACTAAGGTTCAATGTTCAAGTTGGAAAAAATCTCAGCATACTCATATTTCTATGTTAACTTTGATGTGACTTCCCTTTTTCCTATGTACGTTCACAATATTTAATGGCAATTTATCAGCCATCACTGGATCAAGTAGATCCATTTTCATTTCCATGTTCCTTGAACTTAACTGTAGACTGTACTACTTTTGTAATGCAAAGGCCAATGTATTTAACTGTATCGTTCAGTATTACTCAAATATTTAAGAGTTAACTTAGTTCAGAAGATCTTCAGGATGTACTGAGGATTTGCAAAGTTCAAAGGAAAAGAAAGATGAAAACCGGTGCTGATTTATATTTTTTAAAAGTCCTTAGAATCATAGAATTGTCTAGGTTGGTAGGGGCCTTTAAGATCATCTAGTCCAATCATCAGCCTAACTCTGATAAAAAAATCCATCACCAAACCACATCTCTAAGAACTATGTTAATCCATCTTCTAAATACCTCCATGGATACCTCAGCCACTTCCCTGGGCAGCCCGATCCAATGTGAAAGAGGACACAGGACTGAAAGTGCAGCCTTACACACTGCATAGTAGAGTCACGTACTTGGGTGGGTTCAGACATCAGGTTCAGGTTGTGTAGAGCATCTGAAAGGGAAGTCCTGCATGATGCTGTCAGGCTGGGCTGCAAGGTACCAGCTCTCAGCAGCCACCTTGCATCCTGTGACAGTCCTCTGGAGATGTCCCAGAATCTAAATGTATGGCTTGGGTGTGTGTAGGGTACTCACATGGGCTCCCCACTGCTGTTCAGATCTTCACAACTGATTTCTTTATTATTAAGTGATCCAATTTACTTTGCTGGATGCACATTTTATCACTGGATGAATTCAGGAGTGTGAGTATACATACTTAATTTTATGACCACAGTTCCAAATTTCATGTCATCTGCAGTTATATTAGTCACCAAAACTGTTTCCTTCAACTTCAGACAATGACAGTTGTCTTTTCTGTTAACCTGTTTGTTTTATTTAGAAAATCCATTTAAGCTATATTAAAAATATTTGTGTTGATGAGACTTATTCAGCCAAATTTTCCCTTTCTGGTTTCAAATAGTAATTTTTTTGCTTTCAATTGTGAACATCAACAGATCTTTAAATACTTACATTTTTATGCTAAGAGTATTAAGGTTACACTTGTGCCTCTAGACAGTTGCTAAGGAACAGAACAGGTTCCTTGGGGTTCAGTTTGACATATTATTTTGCTATCCTGTTTATTTTTGATATACTCTTGCATTTCTATTGTCCATATATTAAATTATACATCTGTATTTAATCTAATTAAATACAAGAAAAATTATTATGGTAATATGTGTTTGGCAATTAAATGATGTCTGAAAAAGTAAAATTAATCATTAGATCATCTGAGACTGTTTCCATAGTCTGCTATGTTACAAATGTAATTCTAACTTCCTAACAAGTCCCAAATGTTTCAGGGAAGCACAGCTAGATTTCTAACTGCTGGCCTAATGACATGTAATAACTGACAAATTTCAGCTTGCTAAACTTAACTTAGGTGGAAGTAAGAAAAATATACATGCATGCATACATTTTTGTAATGTAGATATTTACATGTATATATAACATTCATATGCAAGGCAACACAAGGAAAGGCTTCACTAACATAAATAGACTGATGAGTTATTTATCTTTTGAGGCTGTTTACTTAAAACATGTCTTATTTATTTGCTTACTTCCTCGTGTCTCTCTAACAGCTATATTATGAAAATTTGAGTCCCAATAGCAGTTGTTTTATAAACAGTAAATTTAATGCTTTTCTGTAGTTAAGCAGGTATGAACTTGTAGAGTATGCAGACAAGGTGGCACACGCCTACTTTTAATAGTCTTGAAGTAAGAAAACATCATCTTACAATAAGGGTGACTCATCTAGAAATGTAGTTAAGATCAGGCTAATACAAAACATCCTAAAAAAATTTCCATTAGGACTGCTGCCCTCAGGGAAGGTTTCTTTGAACTCTAGTTCCAACATGTAAACTTTAAATGGTGCGTCTCAGTAGAACTAACTTAGAGTTTGATTCTCTCTCCTCCTCCTTTTTCTTTTCTTAAGGGCCCTTCTTCTGCGGTAACTTTGTCACAAGAATGTGTGTTTGCAGAGTGGATATTTTGCCCTCACCTTTGGCTAAATAAGTAGTTGCTGACGTAGGTAAAAATTCATTTTGGAACTGCCAAGAAAAATATCATAATGCCTTCAAACCGTTTATGACCGTTGGGAGTTACATACTGTATATTGTCGTATGTGAAGAACCCACGTGACTTTTTATTGTAAAAAAAATTGACATTGGTGTCAATTGTGTATCAAAGGACAGATATTTTACCCGAGGCAGGCTGCAGTTTCATGGGCACACTCATTAATTGACCTGCCACAAGGCAGAGAAATAGACTGGTGGGTAGAGAGGTGCTTCTGAGAATGGTTTGGTCTGGTGAAAACAACCCTCTTCCTTCTCTTCTGCTGCAAAATCTTCCTCTCTTTCTTGTATGCTAATATTGGTAGGGGCACTGTCGTATTTGCCTTTTGGTTTTTGTGGCTACAGGGAAATGTGGAATGAACGAACAGAAAATCGGTAGATATTTTTGGTTACCTGTGTTAAATGAATAACAATTTCAACAACAAAATGCTTGGCAGTACTTGTTTCCTTTTTCTTGTGTTTACAGGGATAGAAACATCTCTCTTATGAGATGCTAAAAATGCCAGGGAGAACCCTACTGAACTTCCAGGGCAGTTGAGCCATTGCTGTGTAGAAAGTGAAAATGGAATTCTGATAAATTAATTTACTATTTTGAATTCACTACAAACTTTGAAAGTATTTTGACAAATAGGATCTGCTTCCAAAATAGTAGAAATTGTAATGAGAGACCAAGAATGGCGTGGTATGAACATATGTTTACAAAAACAAATGTATGTATGCATGTATATGTGCAATTAAGTGAAAAAATTTATGTCTGTAGGCTAAAACCTGTTTACCACTCTGATGCATTTTTATTCTTATGGTATAAATTCCCAAGGATATGATATTTATGATCTTTATTCAAGCAAAATATTATTTTAATTGCTGCTTGTTTGTGGCATGCTTTTCAAGGTAAACTTTTTAAGTCAGTCGTTAGAGTACACTTAATACATTATCTAACAAAGGTAGTTCCATAAACATGCACACATTTTAATGTATAATTTTGGGTGAGATCCTAGGATAAAGACTGTAACAGGTGTTACTGAATAATAATGTGATCTAAAGCTCTCAGGCTATCAAAGGGCACAGAAAATTTGAAAATTTAGGTTTTCTGCTGGAGAGAGAAGGAAGTTTAATGGAAAAAATTCTGAAATCCTGTATCCAATTTCTCTTTAGTGAAGCAAATCCTGCCCCTTTCCTGATAGAGAAATTTAATGTTTAACCTAACAGAATTTGGTAGTGTAAAGTTCTAACTATTTTTCATTTTATGCAAAAAATATGCTCTGAGTGGATGTTAAACGTGATGCGTTATGGGGAGGGTTACTCCATAATCGGGTTCAGCTGGAAAGAAGCCAAGAGTAAATGGGAGACGTGTAGTGGGAAGAGGAAGTTTCCAAGGAAATAACGAGTGTAAAGTAGAGGAAGAAGCTGCCAAAACAAGACATAGAGTTTGATCGTTAATGTATTAGTGAGAAGAAAAAAAGGTTGGGCAGGTTGGAAAGGAAGGTACGGCGTGATAGTAGGGAAGAAAAGTGGAATAGTGGTGCATGGTGGGAGGACAAGATGTAAGGCAAAAACTGAACCGAGGGACGTTCCAGCTGAGTAACAGGAAAAGCTCTTGCACCGTGAGGACAATCAAGCAGTGAACAGGTTGCCTGGAGAGGTTGTGCAGCCTCCCTTCACAAGGGTTTTCAAGAGCTGACGGGGCAAAGGGATGAATGACCAGACCTGACCTCATGGATGGTTCTGCTTTGAGCAGGAGTTTGGACTAAAGACCTCCTGATGTACCTCCCAGCTTGAATTATCCAGCACTGATGGAAAACAAAATTTTGTTAGCTGAGTAGTAAAATTCTTTGTGACATGGCCATGACATGGCTTTCCACAATGACTGTTTGAGAGACAGAATGACTCCAGAGAGATTTCTGAAAACCAGGGATGAAATGCTGCACGCAGTTGGCTTTGCTGACAGTCAGCAGAACTCATGACTTCCTCTATACATTTTTCTTGATCATTTAAAAGCACGCAACATCTCTTCAATGTGTGTATTATCATTGCTTTCATTTTTTCATTATTATCAATAGACTTCCCCTCTGACATTGCCTTCCCCCTCCAGATTAAACAATACAGTTTTTCACACTTCATTCAACTTCTTCTTTCTTCTTTAGTACATTCAACCTGCAAAATCTTAGTTGCATTTTTTTGTAGTCTTCTCTCTTTTCTCCCATACATTCTAGGAAGTGAGAGGTTTAAGGGGGCTGGGGAGAGGGGTGAGATGGGCTTTTATAGTGGCAGTCTTTGAGCAGCCTCTTGTGAGGTTGCTTTTGACAGTAGCTGTTGATGACTGACTGCTTTTCAAAAAACAACTGTCTGAGGGTAAGTTATGGTGCCTTTTTGGATTCCACAGCCGCCTTCCACATATGGATTTTTGAAATAGCTCCAATCTGACCTTCTTCATTACATGACTCAGTTCCATAGAATCTGAGTTCTTGAAATCTGATATGCCAGCCTGGTTTATGATGTACGTCTATCTTGTATCTGCAGCGTATCTGCATACCGTGTACAGTACTAAATTCAAGTGGCTCTTGCTCTCTGATTTCAATCTACCACTGGTTTCTTTCTGCTGATAAGAAATTAATTCAATATGTTTCCCATTGACCCATTTTTGAGACTGTAAAGTTACCCTGTATTAAGCAGAAGCCAACTTTGATGCATGTTAAGTATATTTTTTTGCCCAGTGAATCTATGGGAAGATAATTTCTCCCACAGTTGTGGTATCCTGTGATTTCCAGTCCTGTGAGAACTGGCTGTGCATTTTTTTAATTCTCGCTTTCATCTGGTTGTGATGGTTTATAAGCAGATGTTTATTGTTCTCTCTCTTTCTTCCCCCCTCCCCGTTCTTGCCAACTTAATGCAAAGCCAGTTGCTACCACTATTTTCGTTGTCACTGTGTAAATATTGGACATAGTAAATTCCCCCGATTCGTAAAATCATTGTAGTTATCTTTTGGGATCCTCAGTGGTTAATTCACTTTTGCTGCTTGCAAAAAATTGTTTTTAAAAATCACAAGTCACTTTCCAATAATATTAACTCTGCAGCAGCTTTAAAATTAATTTTCAGATCTATATGTCTATTTTTGTAATGAAGTCTTTGAGTTTACAATAGAAAGTGAGATGTTTACTGAAGTAGTGCATCTGATTTAACTTACTGTGTGGTATGTAATTATAAAAAAGACTTTCCACATGCAACAAATATGTATCTTTATATTCAGACTTGTTTGAAGAGCGGTTACGCCATATTTTTATAATTTCTTTTATGTCTTTCACTACTAATTTATTTTGTGGTGGTGTTTGGTATATTTCTGTCCCTGAAGTCTCATTGAAGTCTGCTTTAAATGTAATTAGACTTTATGTTTATGAAATTTCTAGCTGCTTATGGAATGGCTACCCCAAAGACTTTGGAAATATTATGTTTTGGTCTGCATATTAATTCAACATCTAAAGGATAAAAGCCTGAATTAGAAGTGAGAGTTCCAGGCTTGGATTATTTTCATTTGTTTGCTTAAAGAAATGAAAATGCTCACTGAATCTTGAAACTGTAATCAATAACATGAGAGAACACTAATTTTCTGAAATATTTGCTTCACTGAGTAGATCAGGCAATAACTTGAAACTATTGTTCCTGGTATCAACAAGATATTTTATTTTTTTCCCTCACCAGTAAAGGGTCTAATGTGTTCTCTGTGCCAAGATCTTTATCACTGACTCTGCAATTGTTTTGATATTGAGGTGAACAGTTATATCTGATGTGTCCTTGAACAGTATAGATATATTTTTATATTTTTTTAAATATTGTATAGTATATGTTGTGGGGAGACGATTTATGCTGTCTGTCTCCTGGGTTTTTTTGTTTTTCTCAATATTGCTGACATGGCATTTAGTGATCTGTTGAAGTGATAAGTGGTGTGAAGATTTCAAAAAGTTATTTTCTTGGTTGTCATCTAGTGTCAGTAATGTGGACCTGAACAAACTCCTTTTCATAGAAGTCCCTTACTTAAATGGGGTTTGGGGACGGGGCTTATGTGATGTTTTCATGTTGTACAAAATCATATAAAATATAATATGAATTTTATATTTGAGATGTATGTTATATAAATTATGTAGTTATAGTAACTGTGCCTTGAAGTAAGTCATCTTAAAATTAAATTTGCAGCTGTTGAAAAGATTCTGTCAAGAGACAGCGTTATTATGAATTGAAGGTAATGTTTAGCAGATTAGTAATTTGAATTGATTTATCTTTGCATGAAATACTAAGGTTTTTTTCTTGATCACAGAAAGCCTATCACAAGAAGTTTGTGTTATTACCGATGTGAAGGAAGCGGTTGCACAAGTAGGTTTTCTCCTTCATGAATCTCTGAAGAGCCAAATAAAAGTAAGTACAACTCTACAGCTGTAAACTGTATGATTAATTTAATGTTTCTGGTAGCCACAACTCTTAACAAATGGTCTAAATAACGTGAATACAGAAACTGAGACCTCCTGTGCCACTGCAGTATTTATTACAGGTGATTAGCACCAGGTGTGGAAGTTACCAAGAGAGAAGCATCTTCTGCCCAATTATGCTGTAGAGAGAGATCTTACAGATCCTCTTAAACTTTATATATTAGATTAGAGGAGAAATTAGATCCAGGCAACAGAGAGGCCATTTTCTTTAGATTTTATGAATTCAGTAAACCCAAATTGTTACAAGTACATTACAGAGGAAATGCTTTTGTTACTTTGATGTCTGCATTAATGTCTGAACCAATTAGAGAATAAGTTGTATTCCTGCAGAGCTGTGAATGCAAAGTCAAATTAATCAGCCTTTTTGCGGAGAGGTAGGGGTATGTTTCCCTCGTAGAGAATGCGCATTGAAGCCTTTGCTGTAGGATATTGATGGATGTCAACTATTTGGGACTGCGTTATCAAAATTTTCAGCTCAGAATGTTTCTAAAATCTTTAATGCATAAATATCAACTTTGGGGTTTCAATCCACCCTCCTTTGCAAACAAGTTAGCTCCCCAAGTGTCGCAGAAATAAACAACTACAGCTTTAGATAACAGCATAAAGCCTTTTAAAATGTTGGGTTTGGTACTTCTGTTGGCTTGTGGATTAAGTGACATTTCCAGGGAACCCAGCAGTGTATTGCTTCTGTTGTTTGCTGCTATATATAATTTGTCTTCTGAGGCAGAAGTGGAATTTTCTACTGGCATTTAACTATCTTTTCCTTTTCTTGTTATTCCTACTAAAAGAACTATTGCATATTTTCATTTTCCCAAAGGTGATTAACACTTGGTAATTGCTTAAATCTTGACTGGTCTTGGGGTGATTCTTAATTATATCTTATATGATGATATCACATCGTTCTATTACCCAGAGAAACAGATGGGAAATAGCTGTCCAAAGATAAAGGTTTCCTGATTTGCATAGTGTTACTTCTGTAATAGTTTTATTCATGTCTGTTGATCTGAGTTGTGTGCTTAGTTAATAGTAGAATGTGTTTCTGTAGCAAACTGTATTGCTATTTTATATCTGGAAATGTCATTTGACATCATACAGATTCTGTTTGGAAAGAATTGTATTTAGTATGCAAAATCATGCTTTTTATCTATTAAATACCTACTTTTAAAAGTGCAAAATGGCAGAATTGAATAAGTTCTTTTTTTTTTTTTGTTTAAATGGCTGTGTAATGGAAGAAATGGCATTTGACATCATACTCACAGATTTTGTTTGGAAAGAATTGTATTTAGTATGGAAAATCATGCTTTTTGTCTATTAAATACCTACATTTAAAAGTGCTAAATGGCAGAATTGAATAAGATCTCTTTTTTTTTGTTTAAATGGCTGTGTAATGGACCTTAAAACACCTATTCATGCGTACTTTATTTATTTTGTTTGTTGCATGAAGACAATATATATATGTATTTGAACATTACAGAGGTTTTCTCAGAATTGGAGATCGAACAGAAATATGTTTCCATTTCGTTGATACCAGATCCTTTTTTCTCACCATTTAAACTATTCTGCAATTACTAGGGAAGCATCACTTACTTATAGTAAAAAAAAAAGTATTTCTTTAAGTGTTAAATTATATGGAAACATAACATATAGATAACCACTTTAATCATACCATGAGAAACACTTCCGAGCCAGTAAGAAAATTCAAAGAATGCATTATGTTCAATCAGGCAACACTGTGACTCCAGGCTTAGCAACCACAAATCAGACTGGCACCAAAACTATGTAAAATTTACAATATATTTCCAAATTTTCATTGCAAAACTAGTTAATTCTTGGGTTTGTCTGGCATCTGTTCCTATGGTGCATTTGAATAAAACACATGTAAAGTGACCACAAACAAGGTAATGAGGGCATAAAATGAAGGGATTCCCATTGATAGGGGACTGGATTTTTGTGATGGCTCTATTAAATAATGTTATTTAGTTGATGATTTCTAGCACCATTCTCTTTTTTGATCCATGTTGTCTTTCATCATAATGAAGTCGATTGTTAAATTTTTCTTCAACACGTTCAAAATGTTCCTGCAAAGTGACACCTCCAAAGAACTCCCTCAAGATCCCTGTCTTGTTCCTTGAAACATCCTTAGTCATTTATTTTATGAACCCTTAGATTGAAAATCTATAAAAAGTAAAATTTATGTATTGTCTTGGATTTAAATGGTAAAATATCTAGGAGTTAATTTTTAAGCTTAGCAATATACAGAACTTCTACATTTGAAGCACCTGAGAAAGAATGTATCTGGTGTCTGATTTCTCAAGAGAAGCACCATAACCTTGTGGGAGAGAGACTTGACTCTGTTCAGGCTGGTAATTATTTTAAGCATGATAAACATACCACACTGAAAGCTGGGCCTTTTCAAAGCTGGATTGGAAGGTAATCAATCTAAAGAACACACTAATTGGGGATCATTCAGTAGAGTAATTCAAATTAACTGTGGTCAATATTTTAACATTTTAGATGTTAAACTTCGGTTGTTCAAGTTAAATCAAAACTCCGACACGCTAAATTCATTTTTAAATGTTCAGGTATCCTTAAGCATCATCTGAAGTAATATCTCTCTCTCTACATCATCTTGTTGTATTATCTCAAGGAAAAAAAAATCCTAGGCCTTCTCCCTCGGGTCATGTTCCATTTACCCCCTGAAATGACTCTGGCATGCAATGTGCTCCTGTTCATCTAAGTATGTGCAAGGTTGTGAAGATACTGGGGATTTCTGACTTGACTTCTGCAGAAGTTCAAGCCAGAAGAGCCCTGGAGTATTGTATTTTTAAAGTATTTTAAGTAATTCTTGCCTTCTGTGATTATTATTTTTTTTTTTTAATCTCTTTAAAATATTAAATGTCAACTATTTGGGACTGCGTTATCAAAATTTTCAGCTCAGAATGTTTCTAAAATCTTTAATGCATAAATATCAACTTTGGGGTTTCAATCCACCCTCCTTTGCCAACAAGTTAGCTCCCCAAGTGTCGCAGAAATAAACAACTACAGCTTTAGATAACAGCATAAAGCCTTTTAAAATGTTGGGTTTGGTACTTCTGTTGGCTTGTGGATTAAGTGACATTTCCAGGGAACCCAGCAGTGTATTGCTTCTGTTGTTTGCTGCTATATATAATTTGTCTTCTGAGGCAGAAGTACAGCTCTTTTGAGCACTGGAACAGTGAAGTTTCCTGGTTTAATAGAAGCAACATGAAGATTTTTTTTCTTTGCCTTATTTCAATTTTTAAAAATTGGCTTGAAATCTTCTCTTAGGGAACAAATTCCCCTTCCACTACCTGGTTTGCTGTTTTGCTTAAGGCAATCCTGAAGATGATAGTGTAGTGAAATCTACTTTTTATTTTAATTAGGATAAGATAATTTCTTAGCTGCTGTTATAGTTAAAGGTTGCAAAATAAGTATGTCTGTTATCTGTTTTAAAGCATTCATTGAGGAAATGCTTTTCAGTAGAAAATCTAAATGAGTCTTGTCATATGCAGAATTTTAAAACACCTATTCATACATACTTTGTTTGTTGCATGAAGACCATATATATATGTATTTGAGCATTACAGAGGTTTTCTCAGAATTGGAGATCATTTCGTTTTTTCTCACCATTTAAACTATTCTGCAATTACTAGGGAAGCATCACTTACTTATAGTAAAAAAAAAAGTATTTCTTTAAGTGTTAAATTATATGGAAACATAACATATAGATAACCACTTTAATCATACCATGAGAAACACTTCCGAGCCAGTAAGAAAATTCAAAGAATGCATTATGTTCAATCAGGCAACACTGTGACTCCCATCTTAGCAACCACAAATCAGACTGGCACCAAAACTATGTAAAATTTACAATATATTTCCAAATTTTCATTGCAAAACTAGTTAATTCTTGGGTTTGTCTGGCATCTGTTCCTATGGTGCATTTGAATAAAACACATGTAAAGTGACCACAAACAAGGTAATGAGGGCATAAAATGAAGGGATTCCCATTGATAGGGGACTGGATTTTTGTGATGGCTCTATTAAATAATTTTATTTAGTTGATGATTTCTAGCACCATTCTCTTTTTTGATCCATGTTGTCTTTCATCATAATGAAGTCGATTGTTAAATTTTTCTTCAACACGTTCAAAATGTTCCTGCAAAGTGACACCTCCAAAGAACTCCCTCAAGATCCCTGTCTTGTTCCTTGAAACATCCTTAGTCATTCATTTTATGAACCCTTAGATTGAAAATCTATAAAAAGTAAAATTTATGTATTGTCTTGGATTTAAATGGTAAAATATCTAGGAGTTAATTTTTAAGCTTAGCAATATACAGAACTTCTACATTTGAAGCACCTGAGAAAGAATGTATCTGGTGTCTGATTTCTCAAGAGAAGCACCATAACCTTGTGGGAGAGAGACTTGACTCTGTTCAGGCTGGTAATTATTTTAAGCATGATAAACATACCACACTGAAAGCTGGGCCTTTTCAAAGCTGGATTGGAAGGTAATCAATCTAAAGAACACACTAATTGGGGATCATTCAGTAGAGTAATTCAAATTAACTGTGGTCAATATTTTAACATTTTAGATGTTAAACTTCGGTTGTTCAAGTTAAATCAAAACTCCGACACGCTAAATTCATTTTTAAATGTTCAGGTATCCTTAAGCATCATCTGAAGTAATATCTCTCTCTCTACATCATCTTGTTGTATTATCTCAAGGAAAAAAAAATCCTAGGCCTTCTCCCTCGGGTCATGTTCCATTTACCCCCTGAAATGACTCTGGCATGCAATGTGCTCCTGTTCATCTAAGTATGTGCAAGGTTGTGAAGATACTGGGGATTTCTGACTTGACTTCTGCAGAAGTTCAAGCCAGAAGAGCCCTGGAGTATTGTATTTTTAAAGTATTTTAAGTAATTCTTGCCTTCTGTGATTATTTTATTTTTTTTTTAATCTCTTTAAAATATTAAATGTCAACTATTTGGGACTGCGTTATCAAAATTTTCAGCTCAGAATGTTTCTAAAATCTTTAATGCATAAATATCAACTTTGGGGTTTCAATCCACCCTCCTTTGCCAACAATTTAGCTCCCCAAGTGTCGCAGAAATAAACAACTACAGCTTTAGATAACAGCATAAAGCCTTTTAAAATGTTGGGTTTGGTACTTCTGTTGGCTTGTGGATTAAGTGACATTTCCAGGGAACCCAGCAGTGTATTGCTTCTGTTGTTTGCTGCTATATATAATTTGTCTTCTGAGGCAGAAATATGGCTCATTTGAGCACTGGAACAGTGAAGTTTGCTGGTTTAATAGAAACAACATGAAGATTTTTTTTTTTGCCTTATTTAAATTTTTAAAAATTGGCTTCAAATCTTCTCTTAGGGAACAAATTCCCCTTCCACTACCTGGTTTGCTGTTTTACTTAAGGCAATCCTGAAGATGATAGTGTAGTGAAATCTACTTTTTATTTTAATTAGGATAAGATGATTTCTTAGCTGCTGTTATAGTTTAAGGTTGCAAAATAAGTATGTCTGTCATCTGTTTTAAAGCATTCATTGAGGAAATGCTTTTCAGTAGAAAATCTAAATGAGTCTTGTCATATGCAGAACCTTAAAACACCTATTCATGCGTACTTTATTTATTTTGTTTGTTGCATGAAGACAATATATATATGTATTTGAACATTACAGAGGTTTTCTCAGAATTGGAGATCTAAAATCATTAGGTTGTCTTGATTCTATGAACAGTGTTTTATGGCTGGGAACAGTTGAACATCCTAACCGAGTGTCTGATGGTTCCAGGGCTGTTTCTGGAGTGGCTCCCCCTCGCAGTAAGCCTCACCAAAAACTTGCAGAAAACTCTAACATATAGATAACCACTTTAATCATACCATGAGAAACACTTCCGAGCCAGTAAGAAAATTCAAAGAATGCATTATGTTCAATCAGGCAACACTGTGACTCCAGGCTTAGCAACCACAAATCAGACTGGCACCAAAACTATGTAAAATTTACAATATATTTCCAAATTTTCATTGCAAAACTAGTTAATTCTTGGGTTTGTCTGGCATCTGTTCCTATGGTGCATTTGAATAAAACACATGTAAAGTGACCACAAACAAGGTAATGAGGGCATAAAATGAAGGGATTCCCATTGATAGGGGACTGGATTTTTGTGATGGCTCTATTAAATAATTTTATTTAGTTGATGATTTCTAGCACCATTCTCTTTTTTGATCCATGTTGTCTTTCATCATAATGAAGTCGATTGTTAAATTTTTCTTCAACACGTTCAAAATGTTCCTGCAAAGTGACACCTCCAAAGAACTCCCTCAAGATCCCTGTCTTGTTCCTTGAAACATCCTTAGTCATTTATTTTATGAACCCTTAGATTGAAAATCTATAAAAAGTAAAATTTATGTATTGTCTTGGATTTAAATGGTAAAATATCTAGGAGTTAATTTTTAAGCTTAGCAATATACAGAACTTCTACATTTGAAGCACCTGAGAAAGAATGTATCTGGTGTCTGATTTCTCAAGAGAAGCACCATAACCTTGTGGGAGAGAGACTTGACTCTGTTCAGGCTGGTAATTATTTTAAGCATGATAAACATACCACACTGAAAGCTGGGCCTTTTCAAAGCTGGATTGGAAGGTAATCAATCTAAAGAACACACTAATTGGGGATCATTCAGTAGAGTAATTCAAATTAACTGTGGTCAATATTTTAACATTTTAGATGTTAAACTTCGGTTGTTCAAGTTAAATCAAAACTCCGACACGCTAAATTCATTTTTAAATGTTCAGGTATCCTTAAGCATCATCTGAAGTAATATCTCTCTCTCTACATCATCTTGTTGTATTATCTCAAGGAAAAAAAAATCCTAGGCCTTCTCCCTCGGGTCATGTTCCATTTACCCCCTGAAATGACTCTGGCATGCAATGTGCTCCTGTTCATCTAAGTATGTGCAAGGTTGTGAAGATACTGGGGATTTCTGACTTGACTTCTGCAGAAGTTCAAGCCAGAAGAGCCCTGGAGTATTGTATTTTTAAAGTATTTTAAGTAATTCTTGCCTTCTGTGATTATTATTTTTTTTTTTTAATCTCTTTAAAATATTAAATGTCAACTATTTGGGACTGCGTTATCAAAATTTTCAGCTCAGAATGTTTCTAAAATCTTTAATGCATAAATATCAACTTTGGGGTTTCAATCCACCCTCCTTTGCAAACAAGTTAGCTCCCCAAGTGTCGCAGAAATAAACAACTACAGCTTTAGATAACAGCATAAAGCCTTTTAAAATGTTGGGTTTGGTACTTCTGTTGGCTTGTGGATTAAGTGACATTTCCAGGGAACCCAGCAGTGTATTGCTTCTGTTGTTTGCTGCTATATATAATTTGTCTTCTGAGGCAGAAATATGGCTCATTTGAGCACTGGAACAGTGAAGTTTGCTGGTTTAATAGAAACAACATGAAGATTTTTTTTTTTGCCTTATTTAAATTTTTAAAAATTGGCTTCAAATCTTCTCTTAGGGAACAAATTCCCCTTCCACTACCTGGTTTGCTGTTTTACTTAAGGCAATCCTGAAGATGATAGTGTAGTGAAATCTACTTTTTATTTTAATTAGGATAAGATGATTTCTTAGCTGCTGTTATAGTTTAAGGTTGCAAAATAAGTATGTCTGTCATCTGTTTTAAAGCATTCATTGAGGAAATGCTTTTCAGTAGAAAATCTAAATGAGTCTTGTCATATGCAGAACCTTAAAACACCTATTCATGCGTACTTTATTTATTTTGTTTGTTGCATGAAGACAATATATATATGTATTTGAACATTACAGAGGTTTTCTCAGAATTGGAGATCTAAAATCATTAGGTTGTCTTGATTCTATGAACAGTGTTTTATGGCTGGGAACAGTTGAACATCCTAACCGAGTGTCTGATGGTTCCAGGGCTGTTTCTGGAGTGGCTCCCCCTCGCAGTAAGCCTCACCAAAAACTTGCAGAAAACTCTGCAGGGAGTTGGGCTCCATATTGCGCTGTCACCTGAAAATTTGAGCAATTTTTCATTCTCATAGTAGGAATAATAATAATAATAGCCATTTTTAAATAATTTGAATGAAAAAACTGTCCCATAATGGTGGAAGCTTTAGCAGATCATTAAGGCTGATGTCAATTTTGTGATATAATAATATTTTTTTTTCTTAATCAGGTTGAAACTATATCAACATCTTTAAGCAAAAACGATAGCCATCTACAAAACATCCTTTCGGGACAGTGCTACAATTTTGTTTGCATAAATGTAAGTAGTAAAGCTGTGTGCTTTTAGTGTTGCACTTAGTAGTAGTGGTAAATAATAATTCAGTATTTGCATACTTTCTATCCTCTTGATGTATCCATTTCACTGTTTGGTGTTTCTGATGTGCACTGAACTAGACCTTTGAGATACTGGACCATTCTTTCTCTCCTGGTTCTGCACTTCCATCAGTATGTTTTTAAACCAGCCATGAGGTCTTGAACAAGAGGGATGCAAGTAAAAGTAGTTTGGAATTTCCTTTCTTAGATATTGTATTAAAGTGAATTGTCTCAACAAAAAGTATGTTGTATGTGTAGCCATCTAATTGTGCATTGCCACCAGGGTCTAAATTTGTGTTTCCCATTTTGGACACGTGCGTGTCGTGCAATCTGTATTTGAGTCCCTGTATGGGAACAAGAAGGTTTTAGATAAACCATATCTGAGACAAGTAAAGACCCTTAAACTTGTTGGTTTTATATGTGTATATATATTATGTGTGTGCATATATATATTTCTTAAGGGTAATCAAATAAAAAAAAACGGAAACAAAAAAATGATATATCTTTTTTTGTTAAATAAAAAATCTTTTAATTCCATTTTTATGAAATCATTGTTTGATGCTTTCAGTAATTCTAAACCTTTATTTTCATTTAGGATAAAAAAAGTGCTGTTCAAGAAACCCAGCAACTAGCGGATATGTTGGAAAAATCAAATATTCCTCTCTTATACCCAGTTGTCCTTATTTTGGTAGGTAACTCCTGTAAGTTGCTGTAAGTTGCATTCATCTAATGAAATACTTTTAAATGTTAGACTGGTTTAAAACTATTTCAAGAGAGAATCATAGAATCGTGTAGGTTGGAAGGGACCTTTAAGATCATTGAGTCCAACCATCAACCTAAGGCTGCCAAACCCATCACTGAACCACGTCCCTCAGCACCATGTCTACACAGCTCTTAAATATCTCCAGGGGTGGTGATTCCAAGCTGCTGCTAGCTCTGAATAAAATTGTAAAATTTAACTGTAAATTGGACTGTAAAGAACATCATTTGCACTTCAGCAAATGTACTGCATGCTGTCAGGAAATAAAGCAACACCAGCAAATGACAAATTATTAGTTATATATTTCTGGAGAAGCCTCATTGTGGCTGGTCGTGCTGAACTGTTAACTCCTGCTCTGCTGCTGTGCTCCATCGCTGCTGTGGATGCTGCAGGTGATGAACTCTGCTGGAATGCTCAGCTGAAACACAATTAAGCAGCTTTATTTTCTTCGATGCTGTGTGGTTTGTTCAAAGTTTTAAAATTGTTGTTGTTTTTCTGGTCCAAGTATTAAAAATTAACTTTGAACTACTTTACTACATACTGTACTTACTGAGATGTTCTAAGACTGAAAAATCTATTCTGGTAGAATTTTTAAAGGGTATTTTTGGCTGAAATTCTCATTACTTGAATATTGCTGCCAGAACAATTTATCAGTTCATGTGGGTGACAGAAGGTGTACGTGACTTTTATTTTACTCAGACTGTTAAAAAGGAGAAAATATGAGTAAATTTGAATGTCTTGATGCAGTGTAACTAGACCAAATTAATTCCATCATTATATTTGCTGGCTTAATAAATAGGGATGAGAAGCGTTGGGTGAAATGAGTGTCATTGATGCCATATGTCACCAAGGATTGTGCCTCTGGAATATCTTTATTTTACTGTCCAGCAATACAGCAAGATAATATGTTGTGATTTAAAAATATAATGCCATATATGAAGTTCCTGAAAAAGGAAGAAATATTCTAGCTGGGGCCTAAATAGTTTCTCAAGTGCATAGTCTAGTGATCTCAAGGTAAAACTGAGCATTTACTTCTCAATTTTACGCTTAATCTGAAATTTAGGTAATGAAATTTCATTAGTGATCTAACAAATAAATGAGATATTGTGAAGATCAATTATTTTTACAAATGAACAAGTTATATCCTTACCTACGGTATGCTGTTGTCTTGGAGTGAGCCACTATAATTCTCTGAACATCAATATTTAGCACTTTATTTCTAGATCATCTTTTTTTCTTGACCCTATTTCTGAGGAAGTTCAGGGTAGAGCTTTAATTTTACTGAATTTTCAAAGATAAATTATTTCTGCCTTTGATAATCAGAGCAATTATACGCCTCCAATTCTGTTGCCCGTTTACAAGGGCTACTGGATGTGGAGAATGCTCTTTTCTGGACTGAGAATGTTTTCATTAGCCCTTTTTCAAGACTATAAAAGCATTTCTGTCTGTTAAATTTTGTGCAGATAAAATTAGAATCAACTAGGTAATATTACAGCGTTAAAAGCATGCTTAATTTGTGCCCCATTCGTAGCTAATCTCAACCTTGGACTGAATTTAAATGGGTGTTTTTTAGTGTGACACGTGGAATGTGAGAGCTTTGTTTTAATAATTATAGCTATAAATATTCTGGACAAATAATGCTTACACAAGCTCACCAGGAGCTCAGGTTCTGCCCCTAAGAAGCCAGATCTTGTAGTCATTGTAGAATCCAACACCATTTTAAGTGAAAGTGTACCTGCTTGAGCAGCCTGCACAAATTATTTAGGTGGACACCTTTAAAAATATAACCGGAGAAAAGGCTACATTTAATCCCTTTACTGTACTCCAGATCCATCACTTGAAATTTCCTAAAACTAGACAGTAGGAGAGAAGTCTCATTAAAAAGTGGAAGCAGTTGCTAACATTTAAAACACAGATACACACGTATTTCTTAAAAGTGTCTTTAAAAAATGAAGTACCCTAACTATGAAAAGGCATTTCAAATTTTATGAAGTTACCACACTATCTTTGTAGAAATACAAGAAGGAAAAACCAGGAGGACTGGAAAGTGGGTTTTAAATGACTGAAGAATTAGCTAAACCAAGCATTGTCTCATGTGAATCACTGGGAACTTCTTAAATCCTTTAAACTCCTGATCCTTGAAACTCATTACAGATGGTAGGGCTGGGGGACAGAGTCTTCCTTTAGCAGCCTTTAATTAAATTCATTATTGGGTGTCCTCTTCAGTAAGGCTTGTGAGTGGGATTCTCTTTAGCTTTGTTCTTTGCTCCAAACTGCATTTAACATAACACCTGAATGCATTGTTACCCAATGTTACCTTGTAAGACACTTTCTTTTGATGTAAAGGGCACATTAATATTTCTCAGGCAAAACGTGACTCAGAATTTTAAGCAACCGGGTGACATTTAAAGGCATAAGTTTTTAGGTACTAGCTGTACGGGAAAGATTATTCTTTTCCACTCTCAAAAGTGGAACTGTTGCTGGTAGTGAAGAATTGAAAGGATAAATGAGGAGAGCAGCTAGCTGCTTCCAGTCCTACCTCCTCATCAGGAGCAGCCTAATGTAGGCTTTTGTGTAATTATAATGTTCTTGTCTATTCTTTGGTTTCAGGACACGTGTAGCTTTTTCATAGCAATCTGATAATTAAGAGAATCAGTTATTTTTCCTTCTGATACTCAGCTTCTTCAGTTGTAAAAATGAGAGATGTTATGGTTGTACCCGATTGTCTGTTAAACCAGCCTGGGGAGAATTATCCCAGTGAAAGGTTGAGGTTGCACTGGACACGATGACCTCTGTCCATATTCCCACCTATAAATTGCCACAGATTTCAAGGTCTATCCTGGGGTATAGCAGAAAGGAGAATATTAATGTTATAGGAGAAATAAAGAGGCACAGAGGTAAACTCCATGCTGTTTGATGCATTTGCCTGCATCAAACCAGAATCCTCTCCAGCTCTGCTATAACCAGAAGAATAAGATTCTTAAACTAACATTCCTTTTCTGAGTCATACATGTTCACGTTCGTAGGTGCTATGGATGGATATGGTTTTTATTTTGTTGTTATTACTTAGAGTTAGAAAGAAAGGAGTGCTTGTACTTCAGCTCTGTAGTTGCCATTATTTGCGTTTCAGTACAGAAGTAAGTTTGGGGAAAAAAATCTCTTTTTAAAGCTGTGGAACAGGTTAATGGTAAAGAGGTGTTAGGTCGTGTTCTCTTAAAATAATAGGTGTTTAAATTTCCTGTAAATAGCAGTAAATGAGCAGTACTTAGCCTTGTTTTGGGTAAAAAATAACAAACTAAGGAGTGTTTGAAAATTAGGCTCTGCCTGTGTACTAGAAGACAATAGCTTTGCTCCTGATGAATATGTACTTATTCAGTGCATATTCAGACAGTAAACAGCTTTTAAAAAAGTGTTACAAGGGAAAAATGAGTAAAAACCTATTACTGTCAGGATAAATTGAACACAAGGTACAAAGGGAACTTGAAATAATTTTCCCAAGCACAGATCTCAGGGCTACCTCTCTACTCCTACCTCTCTGTAGTACTCACAGAAAAGTTTTGTATCGATGGAATCATTAAGCCAGAAAAATATTTTCCCTTTCATTTAAGGGAAGAGGTATTTCTGCTATTAATAGATGCTGAAACTTTATGTGCATAGTCCTTAATTTTGATAGAAGCTTTGTAAAGTAAACTGATTGAACTGGTGAACATGTCAGCCTTGGGAAAGGGTTGAGCTGGATATGAGACCTGTCTTTCCCTGCCCCAGAGCTCACGGTAGTCCTGTCCCTACCTTCTTTTGAAATAGTTTCTGCTTTTTAAACTTTCAGTGCTACCTTGAAATTAATCCAATTTAGGCAACTAATATGCTATACTGAAAAGGTAGTAAATTCAAAATAAATCTGTAAAGAACGCAGTTCCATTTTGAAAACCTCTAAGATGCTTAAGAACAACACCTGTATTTCTCTCTGATAGTAAAAAAAATATTCTGTGAAAGTTAGAACTTACAAAAGAATGTTGTTCATTTTCTGATTTAATGAAGTATTTTTAATATGAAGTTCGAACATTGTGTTCTGATGAGTTCTGGCATATTGCTTTCACTGTGCTTTGAAAAGAAATAATTTTCATGTCACTAAATGTATAAGTAGTGAAACTTCATAGTAACAGAAGCTAACTAAGAAAAATCTTTGTTAGCCTATAAATGAGATACTGAAAACTGCCAGTCTAAAATAACACATTATGGATTTTTTTCTTTCTTCTTTTTTATTTTCCTTTTTTTTTTTCCTTTGCAGGTGCACTTGGATATTTCAGAAAATATTTCTTTCAGCATTGGGATGGAAGAAATAACTAGGATGAAGAAATTTGCAAAGGAAGTGAAAAAGAAAAATATTTTGGTTTATGGTCTCCTTATCCAATATAAGGTATGTAATTTTTTTCTACATTCAGATTATCTCCTTTTGTCATTTATAAGATTAATGATAGAATCTTCATTTAAAACAAAATCAAAGGGAAAAAACATGACATGAAGAAGATTTTTTGGGAATATTCTTGCCTGTTCTTGTTCAAAATTCAGAAGAGCCTGTAGTTATAGGCAAAAATGAAAGCATTTTGAGAGAGGAATATATTGTAAACATTTTTTAGAAGTACACGAAAATGTCAGGGCCCTTTTTGCTTTTTCTGCTTTGAAACTTGCTTTTGCAGCATTTAAAAAGTAAAAAAAAAAAAATAGTGAAAGGACATTTGATGAGGGGTTCTGCAGAGTTTTACACTCCTCATTGGGACAGCGTTTGGTGTGATAGAAAGGCCATGGCACAGAGGTGTTGAAACAGTGTCCCTGTCTGCAATAGCTGCAAATTGCCTCAGCTGGAGGCAGAAAGGGTTAGGTCTCCAGCATCCTTTGTACTTACAAAAGCTATTTAAAAAAAAAAACAACACATTTTGCCTTGGAAACGTGTTCTGCCAACCAGAAAAGTGGGCCGCCTCGCCTCCAGCGCAGATACAGTCTGTGCAGCTTCTTCATTTAGTCAGCAAGTTAGATATTCAATGGAAATTTTCATAAAGAAGAATAAATGTCATCTCAACTGATTGTTTTAAGGTTAGGTTAGGTGTTTGGGTTTATATATAGTTCATTGACCGTGGCTACGGTTATCTATCTTTTTCTAGTATACCAAAAAACTTGGTTTTCCCTCCAAATTCTACAGCTTTATTAAGAGCTATGAATATCGATCCCCATCAGTTCATGCTTTTACAGACTTCTGATGCCAACAGAATATGAATAATGTCATTACATGACACTGGTTTGTCTCTAGTTCATACAACATAGAGGGACATACATACAACTATTTTCAATCTTCTTGCTGGTACTATCAAACCCCACTATTTTCCAGGGTGAATTCTGGATTCCTGGTAAAAATCACTTGAATAGCTTGAAATATAGCTTTAAGAGGCACCTGATCATGGTAAAAAGTAACATTGAAAATATTGCATTAGAGTAAGTACAGGTTTTTCCTTTTAAACTTCATTGGGTGAAGTTGGCTTTTATGATTTTATAAGCATATGGATCAAATATACATATGTGGACAGCAATAGTTAGTAAAGCTGAATGGAAAAAACCCCAACTTTTATAATCTTCAGAGGATTTTTGTGACCACGGCACCAAAACATTTTCTAAGTAACAGGCATGTGCAACAACAATGTGAGATCTGAATGGAAATTCTTGATCCTTGGTGGTAAGAGAATCGCAGCAGAATGCTACCTCCATTTTTTTTTAATAAAAAGCTAGAATGGAGAATCGCAGCAGAATGAGCAGAATGCTGCCTCCATTTTTTTTTAATAAAAAGCTAGAATGACTATGTAAGATCACTCCAGGCAGAGTTGTCATTTATTAGTGTGGAAAAAGTATTATGTGGAGTAAAACACTTTGCAGAGTGAGTAAGCTTACTTCTAGCTATCTTGTTTTAATGGCTTTAAAACATGTCCTGCTCACAAAGATGGGGATGTAGACCTGAGTTCCTGCTTGTCACTGTTCTGATAGATGACTAACAAATGGGTTATACACATCATAGGTATGTATATCATATATGCATCAAGTTTACCTTTGGCTACAGATCTGCAAAGAAAGTAATTGTTTCTAGGTGAAGACCTATGGGAAGACTTGATATGAATCTAGAAATGATGTAACCCAAACTTTATTCCTGATCTGGGAGAGAGTGAGAAGGGGGCACTGTGATTGAAAGCAGTTTAAGTGAAAAGACATCTTTAAAACAGGGATTTGTTCATTTGTTTGTTTTTAAATTCCAAAGCAGGATTTGAGAGTCACCAAGGTATTTCACTTCTGAGACAACCTATTAGCTAATAGGTGAATCCATAGATGAGTTCCATGCTTGAGGATGGAAAGATGAATTTCATACAGGCATGATGAGGGGTCCAGAGGCTGTGGAAAAACAAAAAGCACCTGCTGCTGGAATGCAGTTTGCTCAGCCTGTTGTTCCAATAACTTCTGGCAGTATCTGCTTTCCAGAAGTCCTTGAAAGCTATAGTTTATTTCAGGAAAAGAGTGATGACAGGTTACTTCATGGAGCTTCCCTCAAGCTGACAGGTTTGTATCATCACTATCATGTGATGTGCAGTTGATATGCACACGTTCACTAATTCAAAAACAGGAGTAAAATCTAAGGGACATTTATTGAGACACATGACCATGGTAAGACTGAGGTGAAATTATTTTACGTTTAGGAGGGTTATATGATTAAGTGGGTGTGATGATGGGTTGATATGAAGGAATACGAGAACACTCTTAAAGATTCTGCATTTGAAAAGTAAATTTGTTGAAATAAATATCTTTGGAGATACATAACTCGTTTTTATGTTTTGGAAATGGAAGGGAAATGCTTTTGGAACCTACAAGTACATTTTTGACAGTATTGGAGGACATGTGAAGCCTGAAGAAAAAGTATGTCTTCAATTTTTTTTCTTAAATTCAGTGTTTATTTGTTATTTAGAAAAAGGTGTCAAGTACTTCATGAATATTTGATACTCCAAGAAGCTGAAATTCAGGAAAATTAAAGCAAAAAGCTTTAATGTGTTTTATAAATGACCTACTTTGTACCTTCCATTAGCTCAAAAAGAGTGCATGTTCACCAGTTTTACTAAAATAGTTTAGTTATTTCTCTCATAAGCATCATGCATGGAATACCAAATTACTGATACTGATACAAAGATTGGCTCCACTTCATGACAGCTCTAGTTTGCATCCTGAAATTTGAATTGACTTGAATTTCACTTATGAAATTATTTGTAAAGACAGTTCTTTTCTAAACCAGTTTGTCAATGTTAGAAATGGTTTACATATCCCAGACACAGTGGGGTAAACAGTATTCAGTAAATTCCAGAGTCTGAACTTGTAGAGTTAGCTTTTAGGGGGTTTTCAGATGAGTTGAAGGAAATGGCCAATAAGCAAAGTGAATTAAAAATAGGGAGTTTTTATGGAAGATATGACCAGCATATGTTGATGGCAGTGTTATTAAAGTTTAAGTTCCAAGTGTTTTGATATAATGCATACTTTACCTTGAAAATAGCAAGGACTGGTATGGTATTATTATGTATCAGAATAAGATTTTTTTTTTTTTAATAGTAGTTAGTCTAGTAGGGTGTAATGCAGAACAGCCAATTCTGAATATTAGGAGGAAAAGCTATAAAAAGAAGCCAAGTTATCCTTAACTAAACAAAGTTTTACTTAAAAGGGGTGTTAAAAATTGCGAAGGGAACAAAGAATACAAAAGGTAATGTCAAGATATTTCATCTATGCAGGGCTGGAAATATATTAATTTTAAAAACATTGGTTTATGTCATTCAGACATAAAGATTTGGGGGGGAATCTCAGCTGCATGTGGTAGTTATTTGTTGGTCTGTGTTCTGAGCAATGGAATAATACTGAAATTGGACCTTGATCTCACAGACACATGTATTATTATCTTTAAACATATCTTAGGCAGTTAATGATTATATACTTAAATATGACAGTAACGTTTTACAAAAAACTACTTTTTTCTCTGCTTTCTGCTGTTCTTCCTTTTAAAATAATAATGTCTTATGACTGAATTACAAAAAACACATAAAAGCACATAAAAAAAAGAAAATAGAAGCAGCATTTCCTAATATGGGAGTGGAAATTCAGAAGCTTGTAGAGGGTGCAGTAATAAAATCTTGGTCTGAAGTTCGAGTAGTAACTTTATGACTTTTTACAGAGAATAAAAAGGAACAATTATAGTCCAAAATAAAGCATGCATGGATGGACATAGGAAGCCACAGAAATTTTTAAAATATGAAAGTCATACTAATAGATCTTTGTTATAGAACTCTATTAATTTTTAATAATCCTACTTCAGAGAGGCAGTGACAGAATGTTGGGTCGGGGCAGCAAATGTGTGCTAAGGCTTGCCTGGGGTAAGGTGGCCCCAAATACTTTTGCTTCTGAAACTGCTGTTTGATTAAGATAAAGAACTATTCACTGACAGCCAGAAAAATCACAGCCCAAAGACGCAATAGAATAATTGTTATGAAGCTGCTTGAAACTAAAAGGAAAGTGAACTGTGGGTGATTTCTTATGCAAACATACTGGACATTTATTGTAGTCTTTAAGACTTTTTGAAGGCAAGAGGCCCATCTACAGTGTGCTTGATGGCTCAGGAAATACTTAAGAGTCCTAAATGTGTTTTCTGGCTGACTTGGTAAACCAAAAAGGTAAATGTTTGCAATTACTATTTTTAAGGAATCTTTGATGAAAAAGAATTAGGTGCAGACATTAGGGCAGTGGTTCTCAAAACAGGGATCACAGCCCCAAATGGGGTCATCCAAGTGGCAAAGCAGAAGGTGGCTTAGCAATGAGTAGTGAGATAATGAGCCTGAAGGGCAAACCAAGTAAAATCACAAACTGAAAGTTTGGTAACTTGTTGAAAACAAATGAGACCTCCGTGACCCCTGCATGCTTCTGAATTCATTTAGTAATCAGCACAGAATTTGTCAAATGATTGCAATCTGATTAGAATGCTGCAGTCCTGACTGCGTATTTCACAGTAGGTAGAACTGACATAATGAAGAAGGTTTGCAAACACTGACTTCTAAAATAAAACTACAGGTAACTCTTGATGGAATTTTCAGTGAATTAAAGATACAGAACTAGAGGATCTATTAGCTTGGTACTCAAGAAATCAAACATAGACCTGTCCTTTTCCCTTGGGAATGGCTCACACAAAAATAGTTAATTGCTCATAAAGGACAATATTCTGAATGGGCCATATTGCCTTTTAATGGTAGTAGAATTTATGAAATAAAATGTTTATAGGTGATATTTTTGCGTAAATTAATTTTCACGTCTTCAGTACTTTCATTAATATTTAGCTTATCTTTATATTTGAATTTT